TCCTTCCTTCCTTCCTTCCTTCCATCCAACACATCTCCGTCGACCACTCAGTCTCGCTCCCCCGCGGCGAGTGCAACTAAACGAGAACCCAAGCATCGGAGATGCTTTTGGGAAAAAACACCCTCAAGGCACAATTGGCAATATTGCAATTAGGGTTGCACTTAAGGTTTATAAAACATCTCTCACCCCCCATGATGGAAGGATTAACCATACTGCAATTGGGGTTTCACTTGGGGTTTACATAACATATATATATATATTATACACATATTATAAAATCTCCCACCCCCGTGGGACAATTAACTAAACCGAAGTCATAACCGAAGTCAACATCATCATCATCATCATCATCACCAACACTATTTCCAGGTCTTGGCGTATTATCAATACTATTTAATACTACTGTATCAGCCTCAATCATTATTTTCAATAATCATATACAATGTTATACAAATATGTTTGTTCATGTCATTCCCAAACGACACACTCACCATTTCGTGTTCCCTCATTCTGTCTAGATCTGTCAAGCTGCAACTGCCCGCCAGTATAGCCAGCCACTGCAGGACCACTGCTAGCAGTCCCACCAGTGCTGGTGGTTCCCGTGCTGGTGCTGTCACCGGTGCGGGTGTAGCCTGTAGGCGCAAGATGGCTCGGATATGATGGCTACGAATGGGATCTGACTAGCCAAATTAGAGGAAAACACAAAAACATCAAAAATGAGGGATTTCACGAATAATGGATAGAGTACGGGTTATAACTTTTAACAGTCCCAATTTTGAAATTATGGTAATGTTCTTTAAGACATGCTGATCAAGAATTTTGTGATGCTTCTCAGATCCGTGGAGCAAGTTTGAGAACCAGCCTGCCAACTTAAGTCACCATGACAGTTTGTTTACATTATTATAATTATTATCTGTCACATTTTATTATACCATATTGTATCAACTACATTATATTGCCAAGATTACTATACTATATGAATAATTATATTTCTATATTGCCAATATTACTATATTTATCAACTACGATATTAATACATTAGATTATATTTCTGCATCAAGAAACAACTCCTCCCTTCTGAGGCCCAACTGCTGCTTGCTGGCTTATGACTCGGGTCATCTGCATGCGTTTCCAGCCTGGCGCCAACGTCACTGGCCGCGAAGTGGTTCTTCTGCTTTGTTTCTAGCCATTCTAAGACTGGATTGCGGCTTAACTCTAAGAATGAATTTTTAATCCCTTGTCAATAGATTATCTTAGAATATCTTAGATTTCAATAGGTTGCTAGATTCCCAGGGCCCTGCTCATTTCAGTCATCATTTCCTGCCGTATCTCACATGTCCAAGCCAAGGCTGGAACATCTGAACATATCAAAATCATCGCGTCCCCAAATCCAATGGATACGAATAGGGAATGGCCATTGTAATGGATAATTTCCCTATTCCAATTACATCTACATAACTTTATTCCAATGGATCATTTCCCTCTTCGAAAGCGTCGCCTTGGCACGACCTCACTTCGGAGTCCGGAGGCCTCCAGGCACAGCTTTTTGTTGGGATCAGGCAGTGGTTTTAAACAAGTAGCCTCTGGTAAACTAACATAACTATGGAAAATCACCATTTTTAATGGGAACATCCACTATAAATAGCCATTTTCAATAGCTATGTTAGTCATTACCAGAGGGTAAAACAAGTAGAACCTGTTTGGAAGGAACATTAATCTTGATCATATGATACTGTATCATATATATATATACACCCTCTGGTTATGACTAACAGTTCGCCATGGTATAGATGGCCCATAGAAATAGATGATAATCCCAGCTAGAAACCTCCATTTATGAGGGATTTTCCATGGCTATATGAAATAACCAGATGGTATATAAAACAAATAAAATCAATGGGAATTTCAGGATCCTAAAATGGAGGTACGTTAGTACCATATTTCTGGCTATATTTTCTGGGGATATCCCCTTACATAGGACTTACATAGACCTTATGTATGGTAGGTACCTCCAATTTAGGAACCTGAAATGGCCAGTGATAAAAGGATTCTTATGGATTAATCATGTTTAATCAAGGTTTAATCCAACTATTAAATGGATAGGTCGAGTCAAACATGGGGCACCCTATGGTACAATGTTAAAACAGTCCTGTGTTTATTCCACTTAGGACGTCCAATTATGTTGACCTGCATCTGGGCTTCGGCAATTCAGCAACTTTCGGGTGAAGATCTAGTGGTTGGGGAGGTCTGGGATCAATTTCCCCTGTTTTGTGGGGGAAAGGAGATCAAGGGAGTTGATCAAACACAAAAAGGAAATACCTCCACCTGCTCCACTGCATCAAACAAGCATGGGTTTGTGCAAGTCCTGCTAAATAAGAAAGCAATGTTCAAGGGGATGGTTCGCAGTGGCTAAAACAATGCATCTGGCAAAGCTTTGTGTGAGCCATGCCCAAGTCATCCGCTACGCCCTTTGGTGGTTGGTTGAGAGCAGGATCCCCATGGTGGATTACATCATCCTTATTAAACCAAGTCAGTGTAACCCCATATAAGCGATAGAGACATAGCAACATTCACTTGAACCATTTAATCATTTCAAAGGAAAATCAAAAGGGAACGATCGTTTCTCCCATCAAATTTGGGGATTCCAGTTCTTTTTTCCCTCCATCCTGGACTTTGCTCATACCCCATGTTACTTCCCTTGAGGGAACCAAAGTCACCCCTGCTCTGCCTTCGTTCGAACCATGTTTTGCACCTCGGCAGCCGTGGTTCGTGCCCCATAGAGAACGGGACATCAGCCACACAGGGGGCGATATCCAGCACATCTCAAGGGAAACCCACCAAATCCAGCAGGATATCATATCAATCATCATTTTCCATGTGAAAATTAGCGTTTTACGGGGTATTTTCCATGTATACCCTATTTTCATTTATTTTCTGAAAGCCAATTGTCGTGGCTAGTCATCGTTGTGTGCTGGATGTGATATTATTCCATTTTTTGGGCAGCATATGTACGTGATCTGCACGTGTATATATATATATATATATATATATGGGTAAATTATAATAGATCGCAGGGAGGTCCTTATAATTTACTCAGATACATGTACATATATTATATTTATATATTATGAAAACAAGCAACCTACCATTCACCAAGCTTGACCCAGATATTGTTCACCCACAATTATTGATAATTGTAAATAGTAGTCCGGGTGTTGGGAATTATGACTCTTGATAGGGGTTTAATATAATCACAAACCATCAACCAGATGATTTTCCTATCTTTGTTCCTTCAGTCAACCAAGAGTCAAGTTGGATCATCATACCAAGTGCAAGCATGAACACTATCAACAATACTTGAGACTTGAAACATCTATAAACATCCCGGCGGATGGGAAACCGCGCGACCGTTTTGATTGTTTGCTTCCAGGAGAGTCACAATCACCTGTAATTTACAATATAAAATGCTCTTCCGAACTCTTTGGATAACTGAATTTTGGTTAAAAAAAGTGCATGCAAAATCTATTGTTGACAAATCCAGGTAAACATCATGTGCATCAGACGTGGATGCTCAGATTTTTTTTAACACTCTTCGTCGGCTCAGCGATCCATCAGTGTGGAAGCTGTCTTCGACAGCAAGTTGCCATTATGGCACTCATAACGCCACTGCCAGCAACGCAGGTATAGCATGACATCTCAGCAGCGTAGCAACATGTCACGTAGTAAGCGATCCCAGAGATCTTAGCAACATGGCAATATATCATGTACGAAGTACAAGGAACGTTAGCATGCCCCCCCACCCCACCCCACCCCACCCCAACCCCAACCCACACTAGAGATCTCAGCAGCGTAGCAACATGTCACGTAGTAAGCGATCCCAGAGATCTTAGCAACATGGCAATATATCATGTACGAAGTACAAGGAACGTTAACATGCCCCCCCACCCCACCCCACCCCAACCCCAAGACAAAGAGCAATACTCAAAAAAGAAGCAAAACGCACGTACGGTTTTCCAGCCGTAGGCATAAACATGCTATAATTTTGTAGCTGAGACTGTTAGACAGAACTATCTACTAAAATTTCCTGGTTATCACTCCCCAGTGCTGACAAAAAAAAAAACGAGGCTCCGAACTCTCAGGTCATTGGTGCATTCGAATTTCTCCAGCAGTGACAACCGCTGAACCAGGTCAAAGTAGCGACCTGCCCGAGCTGAGGTTTCTCAGTGGTGCGGAGGTTTCTCAGAACCCGGGGGTATTTAAGAAGGTTTCCAATAGGTGATCCCCAAGTCACCATGGGTTTCAATGCTCGATCTAATTTGGATGATTTGAGGATACCCCCATGGATTGGAAACACAAAAGTTGAAACTTGAAACGTTTGATGTCAACCCTGGATGAACCATCTGCAACAAACAACTGGTACTACACAAATGTTCAACGGCCCATTTCTTTTTTTTTCTGGGGAAGACTTATTCTCCAGTTGAAGCCCTGAAAAAAGAGGAGAGCTTAAACCCATGGACAATGATCATACGAACAAGAAAACACATTCTGAGGAAGCGCAGTACAACCGGCACTCGGTTGAAACGAACGATGGGTGTTGGCTCTATTTCACATCATGAAAACACTGGTCATCTTGTGTCATCTTTTGTTGTTTCAGATTTCTTCTGAGACTGTACATCTCCAAAATTGTGTTGGTTCCATTTATGTTCTCACCATCAACCCGGCAACCTCATATTTCCAACTAGTCCCAGTGTGAAATAGTCATAAGTATAGTAACAAATGTCCCCGAAATGGTATATATATGCCATATGTTGAGCATCTCAAAACCCTGGTATCCGTATCAGCACCAAGATGGTGTAGTATGGTACAAGAGGCTATGATCAACTCCAATCTCTCGGTCCATCTTCGATCCCAATCATGGGACTTTAAATGGATTTACCATCTGGTTATTTAACATAGCCATGGAAAATGGCCCATTTATAGATGGTTTACCTATTAAAAATGGTGATTGTCCATGGCTATGTTAAATAACCGGTAAGTCTTTAGTTTCAATTACTTCAACTCAACTAACAGGTACCAAAGATTACCAAAGATATAAGACATTCCCAAACATGGACCCGGATAGGTGCCATGGTCAAGAGCTGGATTCTACAGCCATGTTGATGGTCATCAATCCATGTTCAGTTCGATGTTTTTTTCCCAATATCTTTGGATTCCCAATGTTTCATGGGATGACTAGGAGCACCATATCACCATATACCCTCTGGTAAACAAACATGTGGAAAATCACCATTTTAAAGTTCGGTAAATCAACTATTTCCATGGGTCATCTTAACCCAGAGCAAACTGTTAGTTTACCATTAACTATGGTCCATTTATTACCATTTACCATATACCTATGGGACTATAAATTACCAGAGGCACCACATCCATAAGTCCCCACGTAGCGAAAAGACACCGTGGATCACCATGGCATCTGCCACTGCCGCCACCTTCCGCCGTCTCAGTCACGAGTTCCGGAGCGCCATTCTTCAGCAACTCCTCGATCAAAACCTCGGTGGCGTAGCCGTCGTTGTGCCCGTTAGTTCCAAGGAAGTCGAAGATTGTTTGTACCAAATAAAAACCTTATAGATTGCTAAGCCCCTATTATGCTTAACTTACCCCCTGTTTGCTGGGCAGGGGGGGGGCCTATGTAGTGGTGCAACTGGTGGTGCGTAGTCTGGACGATCCAAGTTCAAATTCCATTGAAAATTGAAATAAAACCGAACATCATCCCCGTCGCAAACATTTTAATACTAATGGTCCCGAGACCCAACATATCCAGAAAAGCATTTGTTCCTCTCTGACGCCAATTGATTTCCTGGGTGTTGATTCTGATGCAAATAGTAATGAAATATGGCCATAATTTTATTGTGTTGTCAAAGCAAACACGTTTTCATTTGTCCAAAGATCGCATTTCCATGCGAAAATCACCATTCAGATTCACGCGGTCCCATTGCACTTTCCGATCTGGTTACAATATAGGTTCCGACGCGGCTCCGAGGCGGCTCCGACGGAACCGCGTCGGAACCGCGTCGGAACCGAGTCGGAACCGAGTCGGAACCGAGTCGGGACCGAGTCGGAACCGAGTCGGAAACGCGTCGGAACCGCGTCGGAACTGCGTCGGAACCGAGTCGGAACCGAGTCGGAACCGAGTCGGAACCGCATGGGAACCGCGTCGGAACCGCGTCGGAACCGAGTCGGAACCGAGTCGGAACCGAGTCGGAGCCGAGTCGGAACCGAGTCGGAACCGAGTCGGAACCGAGTCGGAACCGAGTCGGAACCGCGTCGGAACCGAGTCGGAACCGAGTCGGAACTGAGTCGGAACCGCGTCGGGAACGTGTTGGCCCCAGAAGGGGCCTCTATAATGCTTAGTAAACCTATACACTACTTGTGCATGGGGCGGTGTCAAACAGGACGCGGGGCAAGTAATGACCGCAGCAAAGTCGCCCCATTAGTAACTGCAGATGTTTGGGCGGGCGAAGAAAACGAATCGGGCATTCCATCAGGCTCCCCGTTCCTGAGCCCCGAGAGCACCACCAAATGCCGACATAACACAGGCCACCTATTATAAGCATATATGGAGGCCCATTCTGGGGCCAACATCTTCCCGACTCGGTTCCGACTCGGTTAATTCCGACGCGGTTCCGACTCGGTTCCGACGCGGTTTCGACGCGCTTCCGACGCGCTTCCGACACGCTTCCGACACGCTTCCGACGCGCTTCCGACGCGAGCAAACCGAAGTGTGGAACGACAAGACCGTCTATAGACCAAACTTGGGGTATCTTTCAGCAAACGGGGTCCTATACAAATTGGGAAACAGAGGCCAATCCAGCCGCGAAAGAGCTGCAGGAAACGTGCCCACACATAAACAGTGAGCGTTTCACCTTAAAAAAAAAGCTTTTGGAAGAGCAACTTCGGCACCGCTTCCTCAACCACAAAAATTGAATCCAATGCTCGGCATGGACCTTAACTTCACTTCTTCGACTTCCAAGAAAAACGAGACACCCGTTAGAGCACCGGGGTTAACACCACTTCCTTCAAGACAAAAAATCAACTTATTTTTGGGTTACTTACTGGACACCAGCCCTAGCACCACCTCTGTCCCCACCAAAAGTGCCTCCGGGGGTACCCGGCCCTAAAACCAAAGTTAAGCATTACAGGTTCCTATCAACTTATAGATGTATTCATGGATGTTGAAGTTCAACAAACTTGGGAAACAAAAGCAAGACATGGTCAACTTGGGAAGAGTAGTGTTTTTTCCTGAGCAACAATGGGAGCCAGGAGTTGGGGTTTAAGACACCCAAAACAATAGGGGTTGGGGCTAATAAAATCATGAAACAGAGCAGATCTGTGTTGACCTGCTGAAAGCTGGCAACTACGTGCGGATATCTACAATGTGAGGCCCCCCAGTTATGTTAGTTGGTTTAGATTCGCCCCAGCAACTATACTTATTTGCGTACCATAAACACCATAGTGAAATTGGAGTTATGTGCACCAACTTAGCTATCTTGGGGGCCTCACATTGTATGGTAAGCCACGTGTAATCCCCTCCAATGTCATTGTGGTTCATCCAGCTACGATGTGTAACTGGGCCTGAGGATGCCACCAAGCCCGCATAGATTCGGCGCCATCTTCTGCCCTCACGGTGATGAAACGTGTCTTGGGCAAAGCATTTTGCAAAAAGGGCAGCAATTTTCGAGCAACACTAAAGCACAATTCTGGTCACATCAGCAAACAAATCTATGGTTTAAACATGTTAAAACTCTGAATGTTCCTTTAAATCAACTATATAACATCAACTAAACTCCTTTGGTTTTCTGTAAATGTTCCCGTAAACCACTAGATACCATTCGCCATGATCATATCATATCCGCTTAATCCTATGATTTATTTCATTCCCCTCAAAAGATGCCGTTTCTTCCAGTGGTTTCCAGGATATCTAGACCTTCGATGGACCCATGGCTTCCGGTACTCCATGATCACTGAAGAATATGGGTTAGCTGATGTGGATGGAAGAAATCCTGCACCAGTCGGTAAGTGGTTTATCCCCGTATTTAAAAGGTTTCTACCATCCAAGGCGATGTAGGATTTTGCAACACCCACAGTATCGTTAGTTGCCATGGCAACCATAATCACTATATATCACTATTGAATCTGACTTAGATATGGTTCATTCTATAGCATAGGTAAAACAATGTTGCAATATGTTGCAATTTGCAACAACTAAGACAAGATAAGGCGGCTGATAGGAACCGATCGGCTCATCTTCTGGCTCCACAGTCCCATCCCCAAAGACATCAAACAGAACAACGTGGCGTATGTCGGAAGTACGTCGTACGTGGCTCGGCAAGTGACATGAATTCAAATAAATGCTTAAATAGATGCAAAATGGCTTGATTATGGCTAATCAGCCAATCTTGGAATCTTTGGATACCGAGGTCGTTTCTGCTTATATCAGAATTCTTACAGCTACATACAGCTACCCTTCGTTAGTCAAACATGGCAAGCTGGGAAATGCCTTTTACCAGGAGGTTTCAATGGGAAACAACCATTTATAAAATTAGGACATTTCATGGATTTTCAATGATTTGTCATTGCTATGTTTGTCATCACCAAAGCGAAACAACTCCTCCATGTTCATTTCGTCCCCATCATTCAGCAGTGGGTCGGTCCACCCGACAGCGAGCGCTCCTGTGGCTCTGCCAAGCACTCCCGAAGGTGCATCATGATCTCCCTTCTCTCCTAGCGGCTAGGTCAAACTCCCGTCCCGGCGTTCTGAGAAGATCATAGTTGGGTGAGTACTTCATATTAGGTGCAAGGGATTAGTTGTAATATGAGTTGGTTTTTATATGTCTGTAACATGAGTTGGGTGAGTAATGGTTGGGTGAGTAATTCTTGTCGGTATTATGATGTGACAAGCCCCATCGTTTGTCGATCTCCCCATAGATCTAGTCGGTATTCAATTTCCCAATGATCCCCATGTTTGTGGGATCCTGCTTGATGGCTAAACCCCACTTTGGCCGCTGGATCATCCAAAGTGCGATTGCGAAAAAAGATGCCACAAATATCCCACTAATCTAAAATGCCCCCCCTGGAAACCGTGTTTCAGTATTGGATTGGATCATGAAAGGATACCATATTATTTATATAACTTTAGTGGACAGGGATTAGTTGTAATATGAGTTGTAATATAGGGACGCGTTAAAACCATCCAAAATCATTCAAGACCTATATTGCCATATTTGCCATCTAATCGGGGGGATGAACATCCATTCATCGCGCCTACTTTGGTGTTCGCCAGGGTTAACATCCCACTATGTTCCCACATCAAATAGATCAAATCCGCTGTTGATATAAGATGTTATTGGTATCAACACTGTATCAACATCAATATCAAATACGTCCGTCTCGTAATTTAACTGCTCGCTGTAGAACATGATCAATGTAAAAGTGGTAAAATTTAGCTATTAAAATGGTGACTTCCCATGGCTATGCTAAATTACCAGTGGGTAATGTCACTTGGAGACAATTTTCCCTTTAAAAACATATATACCTTCATTCAATGCTGGGATTTCCCGTAAAAGGCACCATCTGGTCGGTCAGAAGTTGTTGGTCCTCAATTTTAGACATGTTTTTAGACCAATGTTAGTCAGTTAGTGTTGATTTCAAAGTTTGTTTGGTTCAACGATGTTAAATCCATAATATTTACGAAGTTTGGCTAGTTCAATCATGTTACATATATATATGTATATATATGTATATATGTATATATATATGTATATATATATCCTAATGATCCTTCATTAAATCAAGCAGGGTACGGTGATCCCATTAGATCCAACCCTACTGTTGATTCCTGGCTCATGGCTAATTTTATCCCTGTTGGTTTAATGTGATTTCATTTTCATGGGATCTCCAAAAAAACATCCAAAAAACATCCCCTAGGTGTTCCATGGAAAATCCACCAGGAGAGTAGATCATGTTCCGAAGGGGAAACCATAGGTGTTCCATGCTTTTCCACCATCTTTTCGTAGGTTTTCCCTAGGGTACCTGTTGGCTCAACCCATCCCTATAGAGCCCCAAAAAACTATCTCTATTAGAACCCCACCTCTTCTCCCAAGCGCGTGGCTTCCACCACCAGAGCGAGCACATCCTCCAAAGTGACAGGTCTCCACCGAAAAAAAAAAAAACACAGAAAAGGCGGATGTCCCCTGGAAAAAGTGGGAATTATGATGGATTTATCCATGAAAAACACCTAGTTACTAAGCAGGGTTAAATTTGGGATTCGACCAACAAGACATGGGGATTTTCAAGCAAAGAAATCATAATCCAGCAGGGAGCCCCCAAAAGGAGCCCCTAGATTTACAGCTGGCATTACTGGATCTGCCTATTTTCCCTGCGCCTTATTTTCCATGGAACTATGCACCAAGGAACCCATGGTGAATCAGCCAGAACCCAGATCCAACCAGCAAAAAAACATGGGATTTTGATTTTGCCAACAAACTATGGGGGATTCAACAAACAGAGGGAATCCCGAGGCCCGACACTCCCAAGAAAACATGTCCTTGGGCACTTCAATCACCTTGGCGCGTAGTCAACCACCACAATTGACACACTCAACACATGTTTCAATAATAATATATATTTATATGATTACAGATATAAAATTGACATTATATATAGAGAATAAACATATATATATATGTAAAGATTATGTAGTCAGTATTTAGTAACTGGACCTCATCATGACATGTCTGCGTCAATGTCAAAGGCCAGGACATTTGACTCAGTCGCACGCTTCAAATCTGCCTTTCGTGCCGATGGGAGGATCATCCAAATCGAGGCCATAATCTGTGGACAGTAGCCATATGGCTATGGATCAATACCTATTAATACCATTTTTAGTGGGATGAACATCCATTTACCAGCTATTTTGATGTTCACCAGGGGTACAAGGTTTTGACACACTGCCATATTTGAATCCAAAAAATGATGTCCAGATCGGCGCGTAGACCCCCGAGGTTTTTTGGATGGTTTGCGAATTGTAGATTGATCTTCTGGGGGCTGGTTTCGGAGATAATTTATCTACACATGTTGAAACCACTTTGGAGGCTGGCAGTTTGATGTTCTAATATTTCGTTGTCATTTGTTGGGGACGAATCAGGACTATTGGATTCTAGTCTATTCCAATATATCAATGCATTTCATCTGCGGATGGGTCAAAATCATGTTGTTCTTTGGTATATACCCCTACTAAGTAAACAGCGCAAACATGACCAAACTGTCTGGTTTCCTGAGTAATTGATTTTGTAGTGTGGAAAGATTGACTTCGGGTTCTGATAAGGTAAAGTTTGATTTCCCACGCCTACATATTCAGAGGCAATATTTTTGTTGGACCCTTGAGGACCCTTGGCATTTTGCTATTGGAGTTGGAATTAGTTTCATATTCTGGAAAAACACCAATGAATGTCCACTCGATTTGTGCTATGTTTGTCATTCATTGTGGTGCAAGAAATCCCAAATCTCCCGTCAATCCCCAGCAGCCATCCCCGATTAAAAATCACCAACAAGAAACAATAAATATCATTGTCATTAAATATCAATAGATGACGTACATATCAATAAACATCATTAGAACCCAAAAAACAAATTCTTCCATGTTATTCCGAAATATTCCGAAATCATGGGACAAAAACCACAAAAACAAAAAACAACATCACTAAACAAATGCATACAATCACAACGTCGCCGCAACGGCCGCCGCAATGCCTGCAGTGGAGTCTGATTGCCTCCCGTAAAGCGTTGTAGGAAGGCCGGCGCCATTGACCTGGCCATTGGATTTTTCGATGTCTGGGCAAGACAGCGACAAACCATTTAAGTAGACATAGTTATTTTCCACATATATATATATATCTATCTATATAGGGGATATATATATATATATATATATATACGATATATATGGGATATATATGGGATATATATATATATATGGGATATATATGGGATATATATATGGGATATATATGGGATATATATGGGATATATATGGGATATATATGGGATATATATATATATGGGATATATATGGGATATATATATATATGGGATATATATGGGATATATATGGGATATATATGGGATATATATGGGATATATATGGGATATATATGGGATATATATGGGATATATATATAATATATGGGAAATATATGGGAAATATATGGGATATATATGGGATATATATGGGATATATATGGGATATATATGGGATATATATGGGATATATATATATATAGACTTTAAACATTGCTCCCGGGTCTTCCTCCTGTTCCTGACGCTGTTCTTCACGCTGCGTCTGCAACCCTGGAAGTTCCTCCGCCACTCCCTTCTCCACGCGGCTGTTGGCATACCTAAAGCCAGAAACCACCACCACCTTCTCCGGGATCGTGTCGCCAAAGAATTCTCGCATGTCCACACCTCCATATCCGACATTGACAAGGGCAACGCCAGATCAGTCTCTCCCAGAAGGACCTTGCCACCGCTGATGGCGTAGCACTCCCCCGGCAGCAGTCTGGGTAAAGTCTGCAGTTGCAAGCTGACTGATGCTAACGGGGGCTATGTGCCAGTGTGTGGGGGGGGTGCAACCTCTTCCTCTTCCTGCTCCAACAACCAAAGGTGTGCACTCCTCGCGAGCTTGTCAGATCACCATCCCCCCTGGAAACTTCAACCAACATTTTGCCACCCCTCCGTCACCACACACACACCCAGCGTCACACATTCAAGCTCAGGGGTGATCCACCACCCCCGACAGCCCTTGCATTCATTAAAGCCTCAAAATAACCCTCTAAAACATTTAAGCAAACACGATCTAAACCAACTCGAAGTAAACCCTGAACCCAAAATCCCTAAACTAAGCCTAAAGAAACACCAGAAGAAAAACCCACATCACCTATGAACCAACCCAAAAATGCATCTTAAACAAAGCCATCTTGAACAAACCCTGAATATATAAACCCAAAACACACCCTAAAAAAACCCTAAACAAACCCTAAATAAACCCTAAAGCAATCCTAAATCAACCCTAAACCTACTCTCAACCAACCCTAAATAAACCCCAAGTCCAAATACACCCTAAACAAACCGCAAATAAGCAAACCCTAAATGAATCCCAAACCAAACCAAAATAAGGATGTTACGAGCGCCAGCAGCACCATAATAACTAGCGGAAGCTTTTCGGATGGCAGGAATGGGAGGTAGTGAACCCCCCAAATAGTGTTGATATATGATGTCAGATCACCATCCCCCCTGGAAACTTCAACCAACATTTTGCCACCCCTCCGTCACCACACACACACCCAGCGTCACACATTCAAGCTCAGGGGTGATCCACCACCCCCGACAGCCCTTGCATTCATTAAAGCCTCAAAATAACCCTCTAAAACATTTAAGCAAACACGATCTAAACCAACTCGAAGTAAACCCTGAACCCAAAATCCCTAAACTAAGCCTAAAGAAACACCAGAAGAAAAACCCACATCACCTATGAACCAACCCAAAAATGCATCTTAAACAAAGCCATCTTGAACAAACCCTGAATATATAAACCCAAAACACACCCTAAAAAAACCCTAAACAAACCCTAAATAAACCCTAAAGCAATCCTAAATCAACCCTAAACCTACTCTCAACCAACCCTAAATAAACCCCAAGTCCAAATACACCCTAAACAAACCGCAAATAAGCAAACCCTAAATGAATCCCAAACCAAACCAAAATAAGGATGTTACGAGCGCCAGCAGCACCATAATAACTAGCGGAAGCTTTTCGGATGGCAGGAATGGGAGGTAGTGAACCCCCCAAATAGTGTTGATATATGATGTAGATATTCGATATATATATATATATATTATCATTATTTTTATGATTATAATCATTATTACTATTATTATTGTTATCATTATTATATATATATGTATATATATGTGTGTGTAGTAATTTATAATATAAGACATATATTGAATGTTGGAATTCCCAATCTTCCATTTTTTCGATCTAGCTCAAAACATGTAGCTGGCTCAATTTCATCAGGGGTATGTTTTGACAGTCACCTTAGGCTTTTTCAGAGGTACCATATCTAGTACTAAAGTAATCAGTGGGGATTGAACCTGGCAATTTAATGCAATTTAACAGATTGGGAAGTTTCTGCGAGCTTGCTCAACTGCAACGAGCTGGCTCAGCACCATCGAGCTCGCTCAATGCCACGTAGCTGGCTCAGGGGCATCGAGCTAGCTCAATGGCATCGAGCTGGCTCAATTTTTTTAGCGAAAAAAAAAAGAAAAAAAAACCTCGCAGAAATTGAGCCAGCTACGTCACGTTGAGCTGGCGGACGAATGTGAGAGCATCAAAACGAATACTAGCTATGTATTGGCCGGGTTCATGACGCATTGGCGAGCCGGCTCAAGGGCATGTAGCCGGCTCAATTTCTGCGAGTTTTTTTTTTTTTCGCTAAAAAAATTGAGCCAGCTACGTGGCGCTGAGCCAGCTACGAGGCGCTGAGCCAGCTACGTGGCATTGAGCCAGCTACGTGGCACTGAGCCAGCTACGTGGCACTGAGCCAGCAAGGTAGCTTTGAGCTTTGAGCTAGCAAGGAGGCAGTGAGCCAGCAAGGTAGCTTTTAGCTTCATCATATATATATATATATACACCTATGCAATCCCAACCATGTAATATACTAGATCTAGGGAAAAGCAATTTTTTTAAGGGAGACACGTACCTTTGAGCTGGAGCGGGAATGTGAAATCTAACATTCGAATATATATACATATGTATTTATATATATATATATTATATTCATATAGATTCTGACTTTTTCTTTCAAGAATTGGTGGTTCATCTCCGGAAGGAAGTAAACTACAGCCCCAATAATTTCAGGGTAATTAGGGTGAGTCCAGGTATAGCTGAGGTTCCTATCCACTAAGTGGATATCAACTATAGACTATAGAGATCTGGGGTTCTTCTTCACTGCCCTCGGCGATATGTTTTGAAACCAACAAAAACTTCCCCAGTCCCTAGGGCAGCTTCTATAACTTTGACCCATCTCCATATGTGCACAATGAATCTGATGGTCAATTTGACAATCCTCAGTGGCCAGTGGCCATGGGGCAAACGTCATGTATCATATCTTCTCACCATCAAAGAGCCAAAACTTATTTAAGTGCTGGGTTTTCATATGACAGTCAATGTACAAAACATGATGAAATCTGAGACATAGAATTCAATGAAAGCGTCACCTCAACTCACAATTCCTGAATATGAACCCACACATATCTTGCTCCTTCAAAATTAATAGTACCCTCTAGTAATTTAACATAGCTATGGAAAATCACCGTTTTTAATGAGAAAATCCACTATAAATGGCCATTTTCAATAGCTATGTTAAATTACCAGAGGGTACCTCCCGAACAAAGATAGAGACGTCATTCAACGAGGTCATAATAAACCGATTTCTGTTGGCGCCCCAAATTCTTGCTGAATGGCATGGCGCCTTTGGGCAGCTGTGTCACGGTGCCCTTCTGGGTCTGAGCACTGAGAAATTCGGTGACGCCAAAAAGCTAGATGTATCTAGATGTGATATTTTCCGAAAATTAGTTTGCCAGGAAAGTTGGCACCCTAATTTTTCAGTGGTTTGTTCATCATGTATGTACCATTAACATTGCACAATTTTGGTGGTGAGTCCCTCATTTTGAGGACACACCCAAAAGACATCAAATAACACACGAATGCAATGTGCTCCTGAATTGCCACTGAAACAAAAGGAACCTGATTTTGATTGGATTCTGGGGTTCTGAGTTTCAAGACGGTCACCAATCTTCAGGATGGACAGCAATCTGTTTTCAAACACCGTGCATCATTTGCCTCCTGAGAACAGGGGCTACCATCGAGTCCAATATGATGACCATGTGATCCATTTCAATCACCATCACAAATGCCCAACGTTGCAAATCTGACTGACTGGCGGTGTTTCACCACCCACTAGTTGCTAAAAACTTGGGATCACCATCCCAGGATAAACAATGAATAAATTATAGCCATACCGGCCATACCCTCTGGTTATGACTAACATAGCCATGGTATAGATGGCCCATAGAAATAGATGGTTTACCTATTAGAAATGGTGATTTTCCATGGCTATGTTAAATAACCAGATGGTAAAATATTGTATATTACCTGGTATGATGTGTCGTAATATATACGTATATATATATAGTATTTACCCAGGCATTCATACCATCAACCAGCCTCTAACATAACTACCCTGATAAAAATGCCAAGACCAGACCCAGGTTTACCCAGCATCCACCCGATGGCGGTATTTCGGGCAAGCTACGCATATCATACGCAAAACGGTAATTTGACAGTGTGCTATGGAAAATTGGCCCTTTATAGATGATTTACCTATTCCAAAGTGGTCGTTTTTTTCCATAGGAAACTGGTAAATTATCAGAGAGTCAGAGAGTACCAACTGCAAATCACATATCTGGGTAAATTATAGTATTTCACTAACCTGAATTAAGGCCATATTGGGATGATCTCCCTTACTAACCATCATTCCCAGTGAGGTTGCAGTGAGGTCGTTATAATTTACCCAGACATATGCTTTCGGCACCTGTGCTGTACAAACAAAGGATCAAATTCCGTCACCAAACGCAGCTGGACTCTTTTTGCGATGCCAAAGTTTCCAATGCGGGAGTCCTCAGCTGTGACGCCCAGGACACGTGTCACAGATACACGCAAAATCACTAGGTCCATATGGGGATGGGTCAAAACCAATAGTACCCCTGTAGTTCACATGAAAATAGCTGGTAAATGGATGTTCATCCCACTACAAATGGTATTAATAGGTATTGATCCATAGCCATGTCTACCCAGTGATGGTCTGAAAGATGTTTGGTGATTTCACACCATTTCACAATCGCACCGTTGCTCGAAGAACGCTGAGCTTTCTGCTGTGGGGATCCCCATGGCACCACGAATCATAGCTACCGATGGAAAAAAACCGCTTTGCTCCAGACCAGCAGTCAGTGGCTCTCCTCACTTATTATATATTACAATTTAAGAAATTATACTGAATTACATAGCCATTAAATTCCAATTTATTTATGTTATATCATGTTATATCACAAATGATATCCCATGTCTCGTGGCTCAAGCGGCAGGGAAGATCGGTGGACTTGGTCGCAGCGTAGCCTCCCACCATGGCGGGTCAAGTCATTGGGTGTCCCAAGAATTGGATATACCTTTATACTGCAATTGGATGGTTACCCACCAACTTACATAGTATAAGAACATATGAGATCATATTTAATAACATATGGTTAGTATGGTTTAATATGGTTTAATCCCATTGATTATCATACTTAGTTACTTAGCTGGTTGGTGGTTGAGTTTCAACCCCTCTGAAAAATGATGGAGTGAAAGTCAGTTGGGATGATAAAATTCCAGAGATGGAAAGTCATAATCCAAATGTTCCAAACCACAAACCAGTATATACTGCAATTGGATGGCTACCATCTGGTTATTTAACATAGCCATGGAAAGATCCACCATTTTTAAGAACGGTACACCATCTATTTCTATGGGCCATCTATACCATGGCTATGTTAGTCATAACCAGAAGGTAATGCTAAAAACAGCCCACATGATTTGACCAAAACAGCCAGTCATTGAAACATCAAGAACCAAATGGGGACAAAAACAAAGTCAGAAAACCACGCCATCTTTGTGGTGCTCTGAGTGCATCACCAGCATTCGAAGACGATGCATATCAACATAGCCACAATTACCCAGTTCCCAACCCTTGACGTTTCAATTGGACACCAATCTGGCCAATATTGGAATTTTGCCCATATGCATCCCACACTAAATATCTATGGCCAGAGATATGAACCATGCAATATATCTTTGATCTTGTTTGTCATACGTGTTTGTCATTTCCATCCATGATTGTTAGGCTAAGTTCAATCAACCTGTGCTTCAAATATCATGTAAATCAACATCAATACTCAAATCATCTCAAATCAATACCAGTATAAATATTCATTCTCAATTCATCAGTTCCCCCGTCCAAGTCAGCCACCCAATAGTTCATTACTGTCCATGGTGATCCCAATGATCCTAGACTACCACAGATCATTGTCTATCTCAACAATATATACATATATAATTCATATATATATATATATATTATATATTTATAGCATACACACATTAAATATAAATCTATGACAAATAAAAATAAATCGATTCACATCATACGACAGTCTATTATCTCCTTATATAAACATCATATCATTGATATAACAATACATAAATATAACATATATATATATATAACTATTTCAATATATATAATATATATATAAAACAAATTAAAACAATTGTAACATAAATCAATCAGATCATCCACCCATAACCTTCCACCGCTTTCAGCAGCGCCTTTGCTTTGCGCTCCGCGCAGGCACTCGGCGCCGCGAAGCGGCGCGCTGCGACGCTCCATGGGCGAGGCCTGGTGGTCCCGTTGACCATGGCACATGGTGTCACTATACATACCCATACTACATCCTAGTTACATCATATAATGTATATATATATATATATGATATATAGTTGGGTATGTCGTCTTATATGATTTAACTAGGATGCAATGATATATTAGATGACATATTACATGACATATTATATGATGTACAGTAACTAGGATGTAATGATATATTTGATGACATATATACATATATATATAGATATGATGTAACTAGGATGTGTGGTTGTAAATGAGAAAATGACAAAACTATGCTATGGGACACGTCGCAGTGCAACTCATCCTGATCATCGTTTGATGAGTTTCAGTAGAACAAAATCAGATTTGCTTTAAATCCGTTGGCTCAATCTATTTGCTCAATCCATTTTACAAAGGTCCTTTAAACATATCTTTTGCAAAAACTGTTGCTTCATTTCACCCTCTGCACCCATGTCAACTCCACACTTGACATCTTGATGGGTCATTTCTGTTCAATTCTTAAGTTTCTCTGAAAATCATTCACCTTGTTACAATTGTTTTCCTTCACTGGTTGAAACATATTGCCATACAGTAGATATAAACTGGGGTGCAATGTCCCATTTCCCATTTCCAAGCCCTGATGGACTTCGCAACTTTAAAGTTCGATCGGAGATAGTTACCCTCTGGTAATGACTCACAGTTTGCTATTGAAAATGGCCCATGCAGTTCGTGGATTTACCATGATTTACCTATTAAAGATGAACATTTTCCATAGTTCTGTTGGTTTACCAGAGGGTACACATGATTCAGTACCCATCATTCCAGTCATCCCGATGTGAAGCTGCAATAAACAATATCCACATAAATGTTTCTTGTTCCGTTATATCTAAACATATCCCCAATATTTCCATCTGTTTCCCCATGTTCGCTGGCTAAGTCCGCATTTTTCCAGTAGAGATCCCGATTTTGTACCACCATTGTTCGTTGCTTAAATCCACATCTTTGACGGTGTGTTTTCACCATTCTTGATGGTGAAATCCACATCTTTGATAGTTAAATCAAGTTACCCTCTGGTAATTTGTTACATAGCTATGGAAAATCACCATTTTTAATAGGTAAACCCAGGTAAACCATCTATAAATGGGCCATCTATACCATGGCTATGTTAGTCATAACCAGAGGGCAACTCCCCAGGTTTCATGGAACGCCGGACCTTGGCCACCAGCACGCCCAGCACCAGAATCACGGTGCCCAGCACCTGTTCAGCCGTGCAACCTGCCACTGCGATGCGCATGGCATTTTGATGGAATCTCTACGGTGACCATGGTGATTTATCCTCTGGTAAACATACAAAAAGCTATTGAAAATGACCATTAATACTGGATTTTCCCATTAAACATGGTAATTTTCCATAGTTATGTTAGTTTACCAGAGGGTAGTGACTATTCTACAATGTGAGGCCCCCGGCCACGAGAGCGTTCAGTTGGTGCACTAATCACTCCAATGTCACGAACTGGTTTATGGTACGCAAATAACGAACTAGTTACTGGGGCGAATCTAAACCAACTTATAACTGGGGGGCCTCACATTGTACCAAACAGAGGTATGACTATTCTACCAATCGTAGGTGTTTGGATGTGTTTGGTTCATTGTTCTCAGGATTCTAAGATGTTTTGGGGATGAATTCTCCCCGAAGTATAGGTCCAACTATTACTTTGAAGCATGTCAAATTAGACATATGCTGAATCTTAGAAATTGAGTACCATGTGCCATGGTCAAGTTACAACTTTTCTGAATCTTGGGCATGGGCGTGATCATCCCACGCCATGGGGATTGATGTCCATGCAACTGTTGACCTTGGAAAATGAATGCCATGGCTATCATCATTTATCTACCAATCACAAAAAAAAGTATAACACATGTATCCTATTCTTTCTAGGTACTTTTTGTAAAATACAGATTCCAGCTAGTGGCAGGTATGTCTGCGATAATTAATACAGTAATTGCTACCCATATGCTCCATCTTCTACCTAAAACTGGGAAGTGAATGTTGGTAAATGTTACAGCAGTATGAACCGTCTGGGCAATAGACTGCACTAAAAAATGAAGATTCCAACTATGAACATGTTATAGCAAATTGAGAAAATGACATCCTCTACTGATGCGCGGGTGTATGTGTGTGCGTGCGCGCACACAATTTATATTTATATACTGTGGGACGTTGGTTTTAACATGTTTCCAATCGTTCAAATGGTTGTCATCTGCTGTACATCTTGTTTGGTTTCAGATCCTTGAAAAAACACATGATAGTTTACAGATGTTTACAGGGTCGCTCCTAACACCGACATTTTATCTATTTACATACAATAGGTTGGAGCAAACCTGGAGCAAAGAGTTTGTTTTCATTGGGATAAAAGTAGGAAACCATAGTCGATAAACTCCCAAAGTTTCCTGCAGATTCTCCCTTCAACCAGTCCCAAGGCGTCTCCACAAGTCCTTGCCTTCATCCAACCAAACAGCTGCCAAGATAAGCACCTTAGCTTGTGATGCTTGTGACCTGCTATGGAAATGGATCGATATGGATCGATTCAAACTGCCGAAGAGGCTTTTCGATGATTTTCGCATGATTTTCTATGGCCTAAGCATACTCAAAGCAGTTTTGAAATGATGGAGTATGACGCGTTTTGTAAAAAAAAAACTCAAAATCGTTTGATTCTTACTCTCGAGATCTCTCGAGTATCAACAACCACGGAGTGTACAGATTCTCCAATCGCCAGCTGAGATTTCTGGAAGGATCAGGAAGGGAATTCCATCATCAAACCCGTACATTGGGGAATTCCATGCTGTACCATCATGTTCCTTATTGAAATGCCAGGGAGTATACCACATTACACTCCCCCAAATATCATAGTGTTGGTCGGATATATCTCATTACATCCCCATACTATGCTTGCTCTTATCCCATTATATCCCATTGCATCATCCATCTGTTCCCAAGCAACCTCACCAAAAAACCATTAAACTCAAACAAAAACCATGAAAATCTGCCGAAAACCGGCCGCTGGGCCGCTGTCAGAAATCTTTTTCCAGGGCGCAAAGACCAGCTGCAGATTGCCAAACATGTGTTGCATCACAGGTCCCAAATATCTCACCGAGGTCCACTGAGACCTTGAAGGCCGCGAAAACTTGAAGCGGACTGAGAGCTGAGATTTTTCTTCGGGTTGTTTCATGAGATAAGAACTATAATATATACACATAAAGGAACAAATATAAATACATATAAAATCATATAAATACTGGATAGAACTGAAGATTGTCCCGATGTTCAACTCATACACAAATCAAACGTAGCTCATCCTGTTCTTTTCGGGCTGGCTTGGTCGTGTCCCCACGGCCCCTGAGAGTCGAGGCCCTGGCAAGTTCAGCAGCACGGCAGAGAAACACGACAGCAGAGTGGCGCCCGTTGCATGCTTTGAAGCCGTGGGCAAATGTCGAAAGAAATCTGTGCCGATGCGAATGGTCGGAAGTTGGGGCATTCGGAAAGCTGGTTTATAAGTGTTGTGAATCGATTTATACGTGGCCAGAAGTCAAAACCCTCACTCTAGGTACCCTAAAGTAGCTGGTTAATGGATGTTTGTTCCCCCAAATATGGCAATAATAGGTTTGACCTATCCCCACATGTTGCAATGATGCTTCGAACAGCAGTAAACTGCTGGTTTCAGCATGTCAAAAAGATGTCGCGTCTTGCTGGTCTAGACCAGCATGTGTGCATATGTTTGCTAATGATATCTAATAATGTTGCCTTCACTCACTGGAGCGTGGAGTTGTGCTTTGGCTCTAGTCCCGCTTCTATCAAAGCGAAGACATCGTTTTTTCGAATAGTCCATAGATTCCATAGCCACTTGTGTACTGGTTCTAAGATTCTATTCCCTTATCCCCTGACCCGACAATGACCCAATACTATCAACAAATGTGAAGACTCAAAAATGATCGATCGGGTCAACATTTTAAGCCCCGACCCGGGGAAACAAAATTTAGTGTTCTCTATGGTTTTACCCAAGATCTTAGCGCATACTAGTATGCTCATACATATACATATGTATACATGTATAATTACTATGTATACATACTTACAAATATGATTAGCAAAAATATACATATTAAATATCATGCATACACTGGTTATTTAACATAACTCTAGCAATTTCTTGCCCATATTCCAGGGCCGAACATATTCCATGCCAAAATAGCTGGGAAATTTCAGGGAATTGCGAAGACCCCTTTCAGGTGAAATTTGTATTTCATACAGTTTGCCAAGTACTCCTTTTCTTCTGGCACGTACGTTGTCGACTGCACATGTTCTTCCGCAAAGAAGATCCTTACTTTCAACAATTTCTGGAAATGTCATAATTAGTAATGTTGAGCTTTCCAAAAATGGATTAATAATGTTCTTATGGGAATTTGTCATCTACACTTTTCAGGATCTCAAAACCCAATTCATAAGCTTTAAGCTTATGTTCTGGCACGCTTGGCTGGCCTTTCACCAGCAGCGCCATCCCCATCTTTCTTGACATCTTTGTGGCCCCGCAAAGAGCCCTGCACAATAGGATCTCGGAACACAAATCATCGACGATCCTGTTTTCTTCCGTGCAAACTAATTCCACCGATAGAGTACGATGCCACCCCTGGAGTGCGCTAATTTTCTGGAATGCGAAAATAAAACAGTATGCGTGGCCCCCTTCGACCTTCCCCATGGATCCAACACCAGTTTTTTCCATCATATACCAGAAAATTATCACATTTCACCCTGCTGAGGTTTTTTTTTCTTTTTTTTTGGGGGTCATTTTTGGCCAAAATGGCCTGGAATGCGATAGTATGTGAAACTACAGACGTCTCACGCGAAACCGCTACCTTGCCCATATTCCAGAAAACGTGATTCCAGGCGATTTTAGCCAAAAAAAAAACGAAAAAAAAAAACAACAAAAAAAAACAACGCAAAAAACGAAAAATCACCGAGTACGAAGATTTTATGGAGTGCGAAGATCTTGCAGAGTGCGTGGATTTTATAGTATGTGCACGTCCCTAGCTGTGGAGTGCGATGCCCTCGCTGGAGTGCGAAGAATTTGTGGAATGCGAAGAATTCCGAGTATGCGTGGCTGGTATAGAGACCACATAGGGAAATTTCGGGGCCAGAACCAAAATTCCAATCCCAAAGCCAGCCCAAACTTCCAGGGGCATACCAGTGGGTTCTATTTTTCCGAGTTCACCTTGGGTGAGGCCCCGGGGAAGAAACTTTCTAATTTCTACTCAGCCAACCTTTAAAAACGTTACCCTTGACAACCCTGTCCTTCTTCGGTAGACAAATGAAGAAACTTCCTTATCAAAGCAGCCTTCAATTCATTCAACGTCCACAGCTGCTTTGGAACGACATAGGGGATAGAAAGCTGTGGAGGGGCATTCAGTGGATTCGCCGTGGCCCAACTGTTCCCTCCAGATTGAGCTGAAATGCCTATCAAAGTAACATACCAAAACCCAGGTCTGGAGTACGATGAAAACATGGTATGCGAAGATTTTCTGAATACGGGAATGTTGCCTCTAGAATAACTATACATAACTATGGTACAAATGGCCCATTTACCCAAAAGCTCTAATTAGGCTAATTTCTGACTATTAGGTTGTTTCAGTTTTGAAGGTTATTTTCTATCTATTAGGTTATTTCATTTCTTGACTATTAGGTTGTTTGTCTTTTTGCCCAAATAGGTTATTTAGATGAATAATCTAATTTTCTGTAGGTTATTTATATGAATAGCCTTTTTTTTCTGCTTGCTGTTTTGATGAAAAGGCTACGCTTTTTTTTCCAGTTTGTTTCTTTGAACCACAGACTTTTTTAAATTAACAACCTCAAAGATGCTCAGCATTTTGTGAATATAGTTGGAAGCAAAAGTTCGAAGAACATCAAAACAGGTCGCAAAAAGAAAACAAGCGTAACTTGATGTCCTTTTCTCCTTTAGGTTGAGAAAATGGTTCAAGATCTTTTGTCAAGCCTTGGGAGTTTCTGGAGGCCCATGGTTTCACTTGTAGCGATGCTTGGCTAGATCAAATACAAGAGCATGAGCCTAGGAATGGCACCTATGTTGGGGCTATCCTGCGCATTTTTGGCATGTGTATTTGATAGACCTGGTTGGAAGTTGTATTCGAAACCATGTCATGGGCCTTTGGTGGGCTTATGTTGGGTCACTTGGTGGCTCTGCTGGGCCTATGTTCGGCCTATGTTGAGCAAAAAGATGCCGCCATTTGGGCTTATGTTCAGCCAATTTCAACCCAGACCTAAGAAAAATTAGGTCTGGGTTGAGGAAAACCGTCCTTTTTGGGCCATGCCCCAGCCATATTGGGCCTATTCTGTGCCAAGTTGGGGGTATGTTGGGCCTATCTTGCAGCAATTGGCACATCCACTGCTTGAGCTGCATGTCGCCATTTTACACTCCATAAAGTTAAATTTGACATGACACATTTTTTGGCTTAAAATGAGGCTGTCCAGCAACATGCAATGTATCTGTGGAATATTTTGTTTGGATGGAACAAACCAACAGGGGATGGAAACAAAAGAACTAGTATATGTGTATGTATATATAAATATATTTATATTGCTTTGTTTTTTTTCTATTTGTTTATTTGTTTATTTCATTTTATCTATTTACGTATTCTTTTAAAATATCGATGAATTTATATCTACATATAAATAAACATGTGCTGCAACAATGGCAATGGACCGTTTTTCCTGGGCGCCAAACCAGCACAGAATGGAGGTACACAAACATTATTTCTAACATTCTTTTAAAACAAAACTTCCTTGAATTAAAAGCATGCCAAACCAAACGCCCAAGATGATAAATCAACAATTGTAAAGACAAAGGTTGACCATACAATTTGCAAGGTTTATTGGTGTGGAAAAAACAAGTCACCAAAAATCTGGGTGCTCCTGGGTCTTCATGTGCGTTCATGGGTGCTCACTAGTGCTCATCTGTTTTTGCTTGGTTGTTTGGTTGTTGGTTTGTTTGTTTGATTGTTTTTAAAACCCCACCAATTTTTTGATCTTGAAAAAATGGGATTGAAATGGAGGTCCCTGAGTGACTGTTCAGCTTTGGACTTAATAAACCACCAGCTGGAGAACCCCAAGAGCCCAAGAAAAATGCATTTTGTGAAATCTGTTTGAACGCTGGGCGGCAATATTTTTTTAAAACAAAAACCAAAGGTTGGATGGGGTTTTACTTGTAAAAAGTAGCGGTGGGCAAAAACATATTTGACCAAATGCTCTGCAAGGATTGGTTGTACCAGGACACAAGATTTGTGGTTTTGCTTAATGCGCCGCCTTTAGAATGCAACAACTGTGCCTTAGCGACCCCGACCCATCACTAAGGAGTGCCTCCCAAAACCCCCAGACCCCAAGATCTGCCAATGACTTAGGATGATCAGCCTTTCGATTTTTGAAGGCAGTTAAACGTACATTTTACTTGTAATTTGGGGTCCCCAGCCTTTAAATTCACTGAAAAGTACGGCCACCCCAGAGCCAATGTATCACTAAAGTATTGATTTTCCGGAATCTATGTTTGAAAAATAGGCGTTGCAACCCACAGTTAGTCAATCACTTGGGCATTGCTGGATGTCAAATTTAGCCTTGAAAAAACTGATCCAATTGTTTTGCATGACTTGGGGCGCTTCAGCCATCAATTTCATTGGCTTAAACATGGAAAAATCTATCCAAGGAAGTGTGTGCTTGACATGTTTGTCTCAAAAAAACACTTTCTTTAGGAAAAAAAACGCATATTTTCTCTAAAAACAACGGTATTTTTGAAAAAAAAACAAGCCTTTTTTTGAAGACCACCCTGTTTTTTTCAAAAAAAACAACGTGGTTTTGGTCAAATTGTAAGGTATTGAGGTGTAAGTTTGGTGTAAGTTTACATCAAACTTACACTTCTTGGGGTGTAAGTTTACACCAAACTTAAATCAAACTTACACTTGTGAAGTGTAAGTTTGATGCAAACTTACACCCTTGAAGTGTAAGTTTACTCCAAACTTACACTGGCAAGTGTAAGTTTACACTTGTAAATGTAAGTTTGATGTCAACTTGCGCTTGCCAGTGTAAGTTTGGAGTAAACTTACACTTCAAGGGTGTAAGTTTGCATCAAACTTACACTTCACAAGTGTAAGTTTGATGTAAACTTACACCCCAAGAAGTGTAAGTTTGATGTAAACTTACACCAAACTTACACCTCAATACCTTACAATTTGACCAAAAACATGTTATTTTTTTAAAAAAACAATGTTTTTTTCAAAAAACACATGCCTTTTTTTGCAAAATACCATTGGTTTTTTCAAAAATACCGTTGTTTTTAAAGAAAATATGCGTTTTTTTTCCTAAAGAATGTGTTTTTTTGAGACAAACATGTCAAGCACACACTTCCTTGGATAGATTTTTCCATGTTTAAGCCAATGAAATTGATGGCTGAAGCGCCCCAAGTCATGCAAAACAATTGGATCAGTTTTTTCAGGGCTAAATTTGAAGTGATTGACTGACTGTGGGTTGCAGCGCCTATTTTTCAAACATAGATTCCGGAAAAACAATCCTTTAGTGATACATTGGCTCTGGGTTGACTTTTTTTGCAATGAATTTAAAGGTTAGGGACTCCAAATTATAGGTAAACTGTGCGTTTCACTGCCTTCAGAAATAAAAAGGATGATCATCCCAAGTCATTGGCAAACCTTGGGGTTTGGATGTTTTGTCATGAAAAAACATGTCAAAACTGGAGACTCGCCTCAGTGATGGGTCAGGTTCACTAAGGCACAACTGTTGCATTGCAAAGGCGGTGCGCGAAGCAAAAACAACAATTTTGTGCCTTGCATTTTGTATATATACCCCCAATTTTGCACAAAGGAAACTTTGAATACATCCAATCGTCACCAAACACTTGATGGTTTTTTTCCTACCACTACGAGTGAAAGGCCATCCAGACCTTGACATGTTTTGGTTTATAAGATTGTTGCTGCCCATCATTAAAGTGATTTCGCAAAGCGTTTTTCAAACCCAGGTTTTGCCAAGCACTTAGGGTTCTCCAACCTTTGAATGTATTGCAAAAAAATCGGAAACAATCCAGTCCAAGGTTGAACAATCACTCAGGGACCTCCTCTTAAAACCTATGTTCATCTCAATAAATGGATGGATGGAAAAACACACCAAACAAAAATGAACACCGGTGAGCGCCCATGAACGCACATGAACACCCATGACCACCCATGAATTTAGATGTATTCCATTGATTTTTCATTGATTTTTCCAAAACAATGCTAGCAAATTATATTTTCATTTTTTGTTTTTAAAACGGTTGATTTTATCATCTTGGGTGTTTGGTCTTGCGTGTTTTTAAGTCAAAGTATTGTATTTAAAAACCATGACAAATCATGAACTGTTTTTTTCATTGTGTGCTGGTTTGGCACCCAGAAAAACTATCCATTGCCATTGTTGCAGCACATGTTTATATACAGATATAAACAATTTATAAATATATAGATCTAGAAAATAAGTGGATAAATGAACATATAATTATATATATACGCGTTGTTTTGTGTTTCCATCCCTTGTTGGTTTGCCCATCCAAACAAAATATTCCACTGATATATTTGCATGTTGCTGCGCACCCTCATTTTAAGCCAAAAAATGAGTCATGTCAAATTTAACTTTATACAATGTAAAATGGCGACATGCAGCTCAAGCAGTGGATGTGCCAATTGCTGCAAGATAGGCCCAACATACCCCCAACTTGGCACAGAATAGGCCCAATATGGCTGGGGCATGGCCCAAAAAGGACGGTTTTCCTCAACCCAGACCTAATTTTTCTTAGGTCTGGGTTGAAATTGGCTGAACATAAGCCCAAATGGCGGCATCTTTTTGCTCAACATAGGCCGAACATAGGCCCAGCAGAGCCACCAAGTGACCCAACATAAGCCCACCAAAGGCCCATGACATGGTTTCGAATACAACTTCCAACCAGGTCTATCAAATACACATGCCAAAAATGTGCAGGATAGCCCCACATAGGTGCCATTCCTAGGCTGATGCTCTTGTATTTGATCTAGCCAAGCATCACTACAAGTGAAGCCATGGGCCCCCAGAAACTCCCAAGGCTTCACAAAAAGATCTTGAAATAATTTCTCATCCTAAAGCAGAAAAAGACATCAAGTTACGCTTGTTTTCTTTTTGCGACCTGTTTTGATGTTCTTCGAACTTTTGCTTCCAACTATATTCTTTTTAAGTCTGTTGTTCAAAGAAACAAACTGAAAAAAAAAACGTAGCCTTTTCATCAAAACAGCAAACAGAAAAAAGGCTATTCATATAAATAACCTACAGAAAAATAGGTTATTTTAGCAATCTGACTATTAGGTAAAACAAGTGTTTTACCTAATAGTCAAAAACAAATTTTAACTAATAGTCAGGAAACAAGATATAACCTAATAGGTAGAAATTAGCCTAACCAGAGCTTTTGGGTATATAGTTCGATGATAAAGCATAAACATGATGATTTACCCATTGAGAATGCTGATTTTCCATAGCAAACTGTGAAATTATCTGCCCGTTTCGGAGCTTTGCCTGCTCCTTCAACAACCATCGCAAATGGCAGAGTGAGAAGGAGTGTCCATGCGGCTCCCCAAGCCTCAGCTTCGGGTCTGCGGATGGTCATCCCAACTTTTTTTCTTACCGGTGGTTGGTAGGGCCTGGTAGGGCCTGGTAGGGAATGGAGGAATGATCCCTAATAACTAGAAACTATAGTAGCTATCATCCAATTCCTCCATTCCCTACTTAGCAGCACCAAGTTTCTGGGGGTTCCGAAGTCAAAAGTTGTGATCTAAAAGGGATTTGAGCAACAAAAAGTGATTTCACAAATGAAAAATCGGAATTTCATCAGCAAAAATGCGGGTTTCTTCACAGGGGGCCACAAGTTATTGTCCAAGTCAAAGTTTTCAGGAAGAACCATTGTGAAGTGGTACCAGTGCTACCCCAATACTTGGACCTCCGAAGGATGGTCTACACGTCTTCTTTGGCATTGATACGCACCTAGATGTAACTGAACTGACCTTGGGCTCTGGAGCAATCACTTTAGCAAACCCAGAATGAGGAAAAGTACAGTATGTGAAAAACATGAAGCACAGTCGATCTCATTGTCATGGAACCAAAGGAATATGTAAGTGTCATTAGAATTCAGCTGTGGCTTAGCACACGTTCGGAATGCAAACAGACTGGACATCCGACACTGTCAACACAGGACCTCCATCAAATGCGCATTGTGCCAATCAAACATTGAATCACATCGAAAATATGGACCCCCCTGGTCCACTGGTGAATTTCTCGGCATTGCTGATTTCACCTCGTCCAAATGATATGACACTGTCAGGGAGAATCACTTTCGTGACTTTCATCATGAACAAGAAGCAAAAACAGATCCAACTAACCACCAGTTAAATCCAGTTACCCTCTGGTAAACTAACATAGCGAACTGGAAAATCACCATGTTTAATGGGAAAACTCACTATTTCAATGGCCATTTTCAATAGCAAACTGTTAGTCATTACCATGCCGGGTAAGTCATTGTTGACGCCATGGCCGTTCGGTTTTCCCATTTTGCTGGCGGCTGGAACAGTCCACCTGGATGGTCTGCTGTTGTTCGATCAAGACACAGCTAAGCGGGCCGGGCCCAGCTCGTCAAGGACCAGAAGCCGCTGCTGCCAGATGGATTTCATGCTACCTTTGGGGCCGGGTGTCCAACATACCCTCTGGTAATGACTAACATAGCTATTGAAAATGGTGATCTATAGTGGATTTTCCCATTGAAAATGGTGATTTTCCATAGTTTTTTATATGTTTACCAGAGGGTATGTGCCATGGTCGTTGCTCATCCAGAATGGCCAAAGATCATGGGTGGAATTCCCCCAATTTGGATTGATGACCATCCAGCACTGGGTACATCCAATCAATCCAATCCAACTAACTTGACCATAGCACATTTGTAAAAAAAACAATGGTGGACTTTGGGGAGTTCTAAGTTCTAAGTTCGAGTTTTGGATGTTTTTGGTGTTGCACTTTCCATCCCCTAGTTTTAAACAGTTCATGATAAAACACAACCTTTCATAGTCCAAATCGTTTTTTTTGTCCGAACGATGGGCCGTGGCATCCCAGCTGAAAATCACCGCCCTAGCGTCATTTGAAAAAAACACGGTCGTCTCAATGGGCAAAAGGGGGCTGAACCACGAAAAGGATCATCAATCTCACTATATATATATATCCCAGTCATAGATGTTATGGCTTATATGAGGCCTATAATATAAATATGTATATATATATATACAGCTTGAGTATTGTATAAGAATGCACTGTATAAGAATTTGAGGGACTCGGATCCAAGGCGGGCTACATATTTTCAGCTATACCAAGCACATAGGACTTATGTACTTCAAGAATTTGAGGGACCCTGGAATAGGATTGCCAAATTCTTGAATTACTGCTTATACGTGAGGTTTGCAATTCCCCTTTGCGTTTCTTTTTTGTGGAGTGACCCCTTATGGCCTTATGAAATCGGGCTTTGCAGAAAAACAATTTTCAAGCTCCGAACAATTGTTTTTTCGCACATGCTTGGACTGCTTCCAATCCACTCAAAATCTATATGTGGATAGAAATGGGAACCTGAAACCTTGGATATTCAGGCTCTGAAAAATTGTTTTTTCGCATTGAAGGGGTCAAGCCAGGCACTGCAAAAAAAAAGATCGTGACCTCAAAAATTGTTTTTTCGGCACTGCCCTTGTGAAACTCAGTGACAAGCCCGACTTTGCAAAAAAAAGAAAATCAGGCTCTACAAAATTGTTTTTTTCGCATGCCTCTTGTTAAATCTGCCAACTCCACCTCGTTGCCTCGTTTAAGCCCACTCCAAATTGCGCAGATACATACAATACATAACTAAGAATGCTCTAAGAATTTGAGGGTGGAAATTTGCCTGCATTTAAAAATAAGAATTTGAGGGACCCTGGGCCTCAAGCTTTCGGATTCTTAACCAACTCTCGGGCTGTATATACACACATATTTGATCATATTTGATCATTTGTGTGTGTTGTTTTTGTGTTTTTTTTCCTCCCTGCTGGTGAACCCAAGATTAAGGCCCAATCTTTGAAGAGCTTCTTTGAGAAAATCCTAGTGGACACACATTGTAAAATGAGGCAATCGAAGCTAGTGAGGTGTAATGGCCATTTCAGGAACCTAAATTGGAGGTACCTACCATATATAAGGCCTATGTAAGGGGATATCCCCACAATTCATATGGCCAAAAATATGGTACTAACGTACCTCCATTTTAGGATCCTGAAGATCTCCCATTGAAATAATTATTAATTTGCCCTGACACACATCACATGTAAGGTGCAATCCCAAATGTCTCATCTGAGATACTGTGGTAAACCCAATAATCAACATACCACTTTGGGGATGGTCAATACTACCCATCTATACTACCCATCTATGGTGATATTGAGGCCATTGTTGGGGAAGGTTTATTGTTGGGTTTACCACATTGCCCAATGTTTGTTTGGCTAGGCAATCAATGCATACCTTCCCCGTTTATGGCGGAAAAAGCATCATTGGCCAATATTTTCCCAAAATTCAGCCCCCTTTCTGATGGTGAAAACCCTTTTGTTTTGATATGTGTTGATGGTACCTTGAATCCCTGTAAACGGGGAGTGAGATGTATCCTTTTTCCTAACTAAATCCCAATTTTTGTTGGTTAAATCCCACCGTTTTATGATTCATCACTATGTTTGGACTGGTCACCTCTTCAGTTTGGGGTTCTGAAATCCGTTGCATCCAGAAAAAAATTAAAGATGCTTAAATCACTGAATTTCCTATATGTTGATGTTCAAATCAGCTAAATTCAAATTTTGTCATGTCTAAGGTAAATCCTTCAATACTTCAAGCTTAACTGGGACATGTCCCAGTGTTTTCATGCCTAAATCAGTCAAATATCCTCAAATCATCATACAAATTCTTGGTGTTCAAAATCAAAATCCATCAATCGCTTGAAAAATCCCCTGCAGTATATATCCCTATATGGTTTTCCTTAGCTTTTCCTTAGCCTTTCCCCACCGAAAATGACGAGATCTCCGCGCTACGTGAGGCGCATCCACAGAGGACCAGCAGCAGAGCCACTACGGAGCTGCTCCGTTCGCCACGGACACAGAGAGCACCTCGGAAGGCGGTGGCGGAAAGCCATGGGGACGGAGGTTTTTTTGGGACATACCGTTTGGTTACCCATAGGATCCATGGTGCTGGTATATATACTAACATTGGGGGTACATTGATGGTAAATGTTACCATATATAGCATACATGGATCCTATGGGTAATGGACAAAATCATTTACCCTCTGGTTATGACTAACATAGCCATGGTATAGATGGCCCATAGAAATAGATGGTTTAGCTATGTTTACCTATTAAAAATAGGTGGATTTTCCATGGCTATGTAACAAATAACCAGATAGATGTTGTGGAAATATTGATGGATTTGAGTCCCAAATTCTGAGGAATTACATCATGAAAATTATCTGGTGTTTCTTTTTTTGGTCAAAATCGGATGGATGTTAATATTTACTCATATATCAAAATTTGAAAAATAATGATATATGATATATATATATATGTTTAAGCACAAAATAATTTGGACCTATATATATATATTAAATATTTACCTTGGCCTATATATATAATATATATGTGATTATAATTTGATAAGGCAAAAAAGTATAAATATTTTAAATATTGAATTTCAATAAATAAACATATGTATAATATATATATATATATACATATTGAATAATTTAAACAATATATTCGAAAAAACAAATGAAATATTAAAGGGACGAGTTCGGAGAACATGGATGTGTTTCCTTAAATCCATGGTTCTTATCCCAACATGTTCCAAATCCAAGGTTTTACTGCACATGTTACCTTAATTCTGGGATTGGGGAAATGATGCATCTATAAAAAGGATTAAAGTGGTGCCCCAGTTCGTTAGCCAAGTCTATGATGGGTTTGAAGTTGGAAAAGAAATTGGAAACTATAGTCTAATTGCGGTTGAACTCCACTTACTGACTGGGATGAGCAACCAAGTATTCAAGTATGTATCATATATATATATTATACACTATACCCTCCGGTAATTTCTCACATAATTAGCTATGGAATGTATGTTCGATGGCCATTTCTGAAACATAATCTTATTAATATGTATGTCTAAATCATTGTATATCATATATTTAATGCTACTATATTCCCATAGGATCCACGGTGCTGGTATATATACTAACATAAAGGGGGTATATTGATGGGATCCATGTTACCATATATAGCAGCACCATGGATCCGTCATGGGATTTGAATGTATTTGAAACATCTTAAAACCACGTCACGCTGGCCGCCATTCCCCCGGTGCAAGATGGTGCGGCCCGCGCGCCTCCAACGCACGCCATCAAGACTGGGACCCCACTCTTCCAGGTGCCTTGTCGATGTCCAATGAACAACTCAACACCTCAATTTGAGGCCCGGAGCAGCTGGAACTGACCTTTTTTGGTGGAAGATGGTGGAAGCAATTGATATCAATTGATCAAACTCGAAATTTGGGGGTGACATGGGGTGACTTTTGAGTTGGTCTCCGGTGTTTCATGTTCTATCCCGTGAAATATTCCCGTGAAATATTCCCGTGATATTCCCATCTTTGTTGGTGAATCCCCTTGACACAAATCACCAAGTCACAGTAGGTCACCACCGGTGTGCAGGTCCCAAGCATTGTCACGAAGCTCACGCTCGCCTAGAAGGAAACCGCCAAAATCGTTTGATGATTCACATAAACAATGTGGTTAGGAATGGGAAAATGGGAAAATAATGTTGGGAAAATAAGATTGGTAAAGCAATCATAAACCATCCTCAATAGTCCTCATTTCACCATAAATAGGTGGTATAAATAGAATAAACCATTCCCAAATGGGTGATATGATTGTTCAAACCACATTATTGGAAAATATCAATGACCCATGCATCAAAAAAACAGTGATTTTCAAAAATATGTTCCATAGTGTTTTGTATGCTTGCCAGAGGGTAGAATTCTGTTCCATCACCCTGCACATCAACCAACCCGTCAGGAGACCACAGCAAAACAAACTGGTTGAAATCCAGGGTCTTCTAGGTATATCGACATCTAAATTTTGGCTGGCCACATCACTGATGTTGGTTGGTTGATTCAGAAACTCAATTGTGCTGCTTACTTTGGCATTTTTGCAGTTCAAATCCACACTTTTCCTCGTCCAATCCCATGTTGTTCTGTGCAAGTTGCATTCACCTTTTCCCGTTTGAAACATGGTTTCCTCTTTTCCCCATGTGTTTTCATTTTTTCCCATAAAACATGGTTTTCCCACAAAAAGTCAATGTTCCATCATGTTCCCATGGTTTGTTTTTCCCATGTTTTTCCCATGTTTCTTCCATAAAAACATCATTTGTGAGCATTTTCCCATGGGTTTCCCCAGGTTTTTTCCCAATTTTTCCCCCATCGTTCCCACCTGCGTCAGCGCCACGTTGTGCATCAACACCGCCGCGCCGCTGGCCACGGAGGCCGGCAGCGTCCGCAAGGCCAAAGCGAGCTCGCCCGAGCGCGGCGGGCCGGTGGCCAAGGCGGTGAGCACCGTCAGTGACATGTGCAGGGCCTCGGAGAAATGGTGGGAATAGATCTACCCTCTGGTAAACTAACATAGCTATGGAAAATCACATTTTTTCTTGGAAAATCCACTATAAATGGTCATTTTCAATAGCTATGTTAAATTACTAGAGGGTATAGAATATATATAACTATGCTGAACATGTTCCTTTTGGGACCACTTAAAAAACGAGATCTCTAAAAGGACCTCAAAAAGTTGTCCCTTAGACTTGCTGGGTAATATGTATATACATAATCTATATTTAGTCTATGTGATCGATATAATATATATGTAATATGTATATAATCTATATAATCTACATACTCTATATAATCTATATAATCATCATATATATATAATCTATAGAGTTTATATACATAATATGACCTGCTTTTATGATAGTTGAAAAGCTGGTACTGAATGTATAATCGATATGTTATATAACTTATATAATCTATATAATTAATATAATTTATTTATATAATCTATATAATCTATATAATAATCGACATAATCTATATATGTAGTCTTTGTTGTCTATATTTTATAGATGCTGTGGATAATGGTCCTCAAAACTTGGAATGTGGGGTTTGATATTATCATATTCCTCATATCTAAATCCCAATATATCTATGTTATGATGTCATGTGTGTATTTATATATATATATGTATGTATACATATGGGATGATATAAGAGAATGATCGGATGACACAATAATACTAAAACAAATGATGTACATGATTAATGGGGGTTATGAACCAATCTATAACTGGGTGGGCACGACCTTGCATATAATGTATATCATATGACATTGGGGAGGATGATGGGACGACGTATACAGTAACTATAACCATCTATAATCATTATGTGTATGTTTATCTGTATGATATAAATAATAGATGTAGAAATATAAAGGTATAATTTATCATATATACATATATGTTAATATGATACACAAAAATCACTTAGAAATGAGTATAAACACATAGTTCCATGCTTATCTTATGTTTCGCCTCCAGAGTATCCCCATTACTCATTGTATATATATGTATATATAATAATATACATATCATTGTATATTGATTATTTCCACATCATACCATAATGTTTCTTGGCAAAATCCAAATTGTTCATGGCTCAACCATCGTTGATAGTTCGATGCCCCATTTTTGATGCTTAAATCCCAGTTTTTGAACGTAAAATCTCCATGAAAATGATGGTCAAATATGGTCACATCCCCATGAAAACAGCCTGCAATGCCACCCTGGCGCCGTCAAGGTATACGGGTACGGCAGGCCATTGTGCAGCGCCGCCTTCATGGCCACTTGGACCAGGGTCAGGGACATCAGAAGCGTCGAGAGGGAGACGAAGGCATACCATCCCTGGAACCGGGGTCCACGAGGCGAGTGCCCTTGGTCCCTGGGTTTGTGGTCAGATCCCAAAAAATGTGATTTAATACGAAAATTGAAACAAGATGCTACTGGACTCTTTGAGACAACCTGAAATACTGGTCTTGGGTGTTTGTCATAGCTCATAGACGCATACGATGAGGATTTCACAGACCTGCAATCTGCAATACTTGGCTTAAAACTATATGTTGGAATTTCCAGTGAGCCATGGTCATGTTGAATAATTATAATAGACGGAGGTGTCGTAAAATGGGGGTGCCCCCAAATCATCCAAAATTAGATCATTGAAACCTATGGTTTTGGGGATCCTACATTTTAAGAAGCCTCCGTATGTATATATTATATACACACACACACTTAATGAGATTTATTTCAACCAACTTTTTTTTTTTGCAGGTGATTAATCTGGGTAAACTGAGATGAATAGCATGGTGTATTTAATCAAATACTCGAATCTGTCACCATGGTTAAGCCACCCAAACAGAAACCCTAAACCCGCCCAGTCTAAATGACGCCCCGTAATAAAAAGCCAGACTGTCTCTGTTGGTGGGTGAAAAACACCTTCGTCAACCCCGGTGATTAAATTGGGGCAGTCATGTTTGCGGTTAGCAAAATCCCTAGGATTGATCGATGGATCCCATCCTCAGATAAAGAGAATACGCCAATGTGCGAGACCCCCAAAAAAAGGAAGAAATCCAATGCTAAAGTCACTGGATTGGTTTAAGGGAAAATCTTAACCGGAAACCCATGGGTTTTTACCATCAAATTGATCGGGCTTTCCTGTAAATTTTCCCATAATCCAATTCTATGATAAAGCAAAATGTCTAGGGTACTTAACACTAAAGGCATTTTTGAGATTACTGCTACGAAAATCATGATTAATCATTTCCATAGTATCCCTGCACTGTGAATTTGGAGCTGTAAAAACAATGCTACAAATCCCTACTTGCAATTTTTGATCTATATGAAGTCATGGTTTGAGGGGATTAACCAGTGAATATGTTTTTTCTATAATATTATGTATATATATAATATTATGTATATATATAATATTATGTGTATATATAATATATTGTATATGTGTATATATATATCATTTACACCAGTTGAGCGCATATTTGGAATGATTGATGGTTTGTGTTATCCGTATAATCAATCGGGATGGGGATCAGTGATGTCCAACCTGATTTTTTATGTCTTCTTGGGACGGCCTGCATAGTTTGCTGGGAAATATGGCAACATCATCTATATATAATAATATATATATATATGATTATATATGCATATGTCAAGATCATACATGAATGGAACTGCTTGAATTTCAACAAGTCATATGGATTCGTATATGTGACACTAAGTACCAGTGCTGAAAGTCGTCAATCCCATGCTGTGAGCCTGATAGACGAGCACAGGCGCCAATGCCACCACCACCTCTGTGCCATCCGAAAAGCGATGAATTGATAATTGCTGCGTACCATTATTGCTTCCTACAAGTACTGGATGAGAAAAACATATGAAAACCAACAACTTCGCTCTGGGGAAGTTTTTTTTTTCTAATCTTGGATCACAGCCATTTACAATTGGATATAGATATGGCTCCAAATTGGCTCGCTCATTCGGAGTGGCAGGGAGCATTTATATCACTAGTTTTATTGATCAAGACTCCCAAGTAAGTGCTTGCCCAGCTCCCTAGTCTGATTCGTTATTGACCAAGTGTATCTTCATATCCGCTGGTTGCAACTCGCAGTTTTACAGTTTTTGATCTGCATTCTATACAAGGTGCTGCCCCCCACACATAAGCCTCATCATCTATATATATATGTATATATATATATGTATCTACCATGAACCATAGTTAAGTCACTTACATGGTCTGACTGTTGACGCACCGGCTTATACCCACCTGAAAACAGAGATGGAAGCCAATCATGGCAATGTTCACTATGAAAATAATGTTCCACAGCCATGCTTTGAATGTATTTTTTGGGTGCGTAGGGAATCCCATATTGGATTGAACACAAAAACAAATCTAAGCATGTACAAGTAGTGTTTGTATAATCAGAGTTTAAGCATTGCTGACATGCCCTTCGATAATGTGTACATACCAATATAATGTGTTTTTGACCATCCCCTATGACAAATACAGGCCATGTAACTTGAGGTATATGTTCATTGTTTTATCATGTTGTGTCCCATATTCCACTGGTTTATGATCATCCTTCCTAAAAAATCCTCTTAAAATGGTAATGAACAAATCCACTTAAAAAGGTGGCAAATCCGCTAAAAATATCTTAGAATAGTGTTAAATACATGTAAATCCACTTAAAATGATGGCACATCCATTTAAAATGGTTGTAAATCCCATATAAATCCACTTCAAATGGTGGTAAATCCACATCAAATGCTGGTAAATCCACTTCAAAATGGCCATTTTTAGTGGTTGAATCGACCACCAGCCACCAAGGTACTAAGGCCCCCAGAAGCTCCGCGCAGAGCAGCTTGCTCTGCCGTGTCTCATGGAGCCGCGGGTCGACCATGGCCGGCGGAATGGCGCTGCCGGCGCCTGATGGGCTGATGGGATGGTTATTGTGATGGAAAATCACCATTTTTAATCACCATTTTTAATGGGAAATCACCATTTTTAATGGGAAAATCCACTATTTCGACTGGGCCATTTTCAATAGCAAACTGTTACTTTAATGGGATTTAATGGTGACTTAATGGGTTTTTATGGTGACTTAATGGGAATGAATGGGATCTAATGGGAATTTACCCTCTGGTAAATTAACTTGTTGACCCTGAAAATCACCCATTTTTAATGGAAACTAATCTTCCAACCCCGATGACTGCCAGGGTCTATGTTAATTTACCAGAGGGTAATATATGTAAAATTCCGCCTGTAGATTAAGTGGAAGTCTCATAGGTCCCCATTTTTATAGATATAAGATCCACAAGCCATGACTCTATAACGAGGATTATGTTAATATGAGATATCCTGATGATTGTAATGGGATATAATGGGATATAGCGTCATAGTGGGATATGTCGTTGGATATGAACAGGATGATATGGAATGTTAATACCCTTCAGTTAACTAAGGTAGCTATTGAAACTGGC